GGGAGGACAGCTTGAGTCCAGGAGTTTGTCACTTGTGGTGAGCCATGATCGTGCTACTGCTCTCCAGCCTGGGTGACAGGGTGAGACCCTGTCTCTGAAAAAAAACAAAAAAACTTAAAAACTTAAAAAAATGTATAGTTGACTTGGGTCCCCAGTAGGAATTTTCTCAACACTGCTACCATAATCAGGGATAGTTCTAACTTTAACAATAGCAGACCTTAGGTACTGATAAGACTTAAACAGGCTTCTGCCTCCAGAGGCTACATTCTTAGATACCTCCTCCATATTCTTTCCCCAAGTGGGACACAACACAAAGTTAAACATTAAAACTCTCAGGAAAAATGCCAGAGAATTCCTGTCTGATCATTCAAGGCAGTTAAATGTTCAACTGTACGACAGGTCAGGCTACTTTTTTCTCTGTAGAGTCACCTTCCTGGATTAAAGATTACCTCTTCAAAAATATACCGATGGGGCAAAAGGGTGGACCTAAGAAGGCATACCTTTCCTCAACTTGTCTGTTAAAAAACGGCTAGCTTGTTTCCCACTGTTATGATCAGAAAGAAAGTGCAGCTGCTTTTGTCACTGATGGATGAGGTAAAATATTTTAAATTTAAATAATTTATTTCATTTTTACATTTGAACTGCCTTCTAAGACAGTTCCAATGTGTGATGTAATCTCCAAATATTTATTTTTTGTCTCTAATTTGAAGTAGTCTGGCACTGTCTCTGATTTAGATGGGTAGTTTGTATATTTAACCAGTCAATGCTAAATTCCTTTCAATAAAATGCATTCAGACTGCCACTGTCATTGAAGATAACCGTGTGAGAGATATATATTTTCTGCCTGATTCAATTGCCTGAGATATCTGAGATCAATCTGAGGAAAGTAAATGGAAAAATTAAAGTCCACACAGGAAAATAAATACCTTCATTTTTAATCTGTTATGTGTGCAGTGCTTCTCATCCATTAGCTATTCTATTTAAATTCTGATCAATCGGCACAAAAAATTGGTGTCTTTTGAGACTGGCAGTGCTGTGTGGATGAAACAGAAGCAGCAGAAATGAAAAAACACTATTGAGTTCTTACTCAGTTCTCTTACTGACTCACTGGCCAGCACTGTGGATAAATTACATCCCATCGTGTTTGTTTGTCCTGTCACTGACATAAAAGCGTAAGGGCAAAATCCTGTGACTATGACTTCCCGATACGCATGAGTACCCATGCATTCATCAGACACTTACTGCACATCAGACACCGTTTTAAATATTGTTGGAGTGGCAAATCTAAATCTCAATTGAGTCCTAACCTTAAAACTGTTCCTTGCTATTCACAGAGGGTTGGTTCCGGGACCCCCCGACAGATATCAAAATTTGCAGATTTTGATAAAAATTATCATATAGTTATATGCACATATTATGCCATTTTATATAAGGATTTTTATATAAAATCTTTTAATATAAAATTTTTTATATATAATCTTTTTATATAAAAATCCTTACGTAAAATGGCATAGTATTTGCATATAATGTATGCACAGCCCCTGTATACTTTAAGTGATCTCTAGATTACTTGTTATACCTAATACAATGGACGTTCTATGTAAATAGTTGTTGTAGGGCACAATTTTAAATTTGTATTATTTTTAGTTGTCTTATTGTTATTTTTTATTGTTCATTTTTTCAAATATTTTTGATTCACGGTTGGTCAAATTGGTAGATGTAGAACCTACAGAAATGGAGGGCCAACTGCTCTGCAATATTATAATGCACTAATGTACTACTGTGGTAGTGATGAATGTAGGTAAGTATTCTATAAATATAAACCGCTAGAAATAAAACTTGTAATTATAGCCATTCCTATGCCATAGTTACATATGCATATGTTACTCTTCGGCAGCATTTGAAACCTAAATGTAAGTCCACCTCCTCAGTGAAGCCTTCCCTGAATCCCCCAGGCTGAGTAAGTTGTCTATCCTCTGTGAACACATAAATTTGGAATCTGAATCGATGTAGCTTTCCTCTGTATAATGCAGTGCATGTTTTTCTGCCTTACTACATTTGAAGCTCCGTGGAGAAGAAACTGCACATCAGTTCTCTTTGTACCTTCACCATGCCTAGGCCAAGGAAAGATGGCAGTCGTGTTTGTTAAATGAGCAGATAAATGAATCAATAAATGATACAAGGTAGAAAGAGTATTTGAGGAGAGTAGATGAAATAATTTAAAAAGGTCAGGTGTGGGGGAGCTTTGAGTTATGGGTAACAGAATCCTGGAGTACATGTGAAAAACCAAAAGAGCGTAGACTTTTATGTGACCTTCGGAAAGCTAATAGTAATAGCTAACATTTGTTGAGTGCTTAGTTACATGCCAGGCACTGTTCTACCTGATCTTATCTATTCCTCACAGTAAGTGGATCCAATTATTCCCATATTACTAAAGAGGAAGCTGAGCACAGAGAGGTGTCAATAAGACTGCCCAGCCAGCCAAAGGGAAGCCATGCTTGAAGTCTACACATCTTTTTTTGAGAAAGAGTCTCACTCTGTTGCCCAGGCTGGAGTGCAGTGGTGGTATCTCAGCTCACTGCAACCTCCACCTCCTGGATTCAAGTGATTCTCATGCCTCAGTCACCCAAGTTACAGGCACAGTCCACCATGTCTGGCTCAGTTTTTGTATTTTTAGCAGAGACAGGGTTTCACCATGTTGGCCATACTGGTCTTGAACTCCTGGCCTCAAGCAAGCCACCCGCCTTGGCCTCTGAAAGTGCTGGGATTACAGGCATGAGACGCTGTGCCTGGCCAGAAGTCTAGACATTTTTAATTGCTGTTACAGAGCTGCCTTTCATTAGCTCTACGTAGGCAATTTATCTAAGCCTTAATTTTCATCACCCTAAAATGGGATCTGTTATCAGATTGTTGTGATTTTTCAGTAAAGTGTATACCTGTTTAGTATAGCATACAGCAAAATATATATCTCAATAAATGCTACTTCCTCTTTTTTAATCAGTCGAAGGTTTTGAAAAGTGGGTGAATAGAATACATAACAAGATGAGCACTATGCTTTTCATGTCATCAAAAGAAGGCTTGGAAATGTTTCCCTGGACTAATATAGCATTGGAATGTCCACTGTGAAATCATGTGAATTGGTGTTACAGGAATCCTAGAGGGTAGGATGTGCAAGAGACATGAAAAGGGTCAGCCTGATCCTTAGCATATATGTTGACTGGTTCTATAGAAAATGCAGGAAAGTTTAGGCAGAATATTGCTTGAGTGACGTCAGAACGGTGAGCCTCCAATTTGGATAGAAGCCTCTGGTGAGTCTGGATTTAGTAGAATTACCCTTACCAGTCATTTCCAGTTACACAGTGAGCCTCTGTAATCAAGCAGGTGAAGAGGGCAAACCAACAGGGTTCCTTTTACACTTCACAATGCAAATCTGCTTCAGAAGAATTCAGTCACCACAGTATCTATGTCTGTAATCCTCTGAGAGAATATGTAAACATGGTCAAATGTTACTCTGAATGCTTCTGTGATGGTATTTTTGGATAGGATTTACATTTTTGGTTGGCTTTGGGTTAAGGAGATTACCCTGTATAATATGGATGAGCCTTATTTAATCAGCTGAAGTCCTAGAAGAAACAAAAGACTGACCTATCATAATCAAGAGGGAACTCTGCCAACAGTCTGCCTTAGTCGTTAAATGCAGTGTGGGCTCTTCCGCGGTCTAAAGCCTGCCTGCCCACCCTGAAGACTTGCATGCCTCCATGATCACATCGCCAATCCCTAAAATAAATCTCTTTCTCTTTACAGCCAGTCCTCTATTTACTATGGTTCAGCTTACAATTTGTAATTATGATGTGAAAGTGGTACACATTCAATAGAAACCATACTTTGAATTTTGAATTTAGATCTTTTCCCAAGCTAGCAATATGTGGTACAGCACTCTTTCCTAATGCTGGGTAGCAGCAGCCGCCATGACTCCCAATCAGCCACACAAACACAAAAATAAACAACGAGTACTTGATCGTAGACTGTGTTGCCAGATGATTTTGCCCAACTGTAGGCCAAGATAAGTGTTCTGAGTATTTTTAAGTATGTTTAGTACGTTTTCACACAGCTATAAAGAACTACCTGAGACAGAATAATTTATAAAGAAAAGAGGTTTAATTGACTCGCATCCACAGGCTGTACAGGAGGCATGGCTGGGCAGTTCTCAGGAAACTTACAATCATAGTGAAAGGGCGAAGAGGAAGCAAGCACATCTTCACATGGTGGCAGGAGAGAGAGAGCTAGGGAAGGTGCTACATACTTTTAAATAACCAGATTTTGTGAGAACTCGATCACAAGACAGCACTAGGGAAATGGTGCTAAACCTTTAGAAACCACCTGCACGATCCCCTCACCTCTCACCAGGCCCTGCCTCCAACACTGGAAATTACAATTTAACAAGAGACCTGGGTGGGGACACAGAGCCAAATCATATTAGTGGGCTAGGCAAAGCTATGAGGTTGGGTAGGTTAGGTGTATTAAATGCACTTTTGACCTACAATATTTTCAGCATGTGATGGGTTTAGTGTGATGTAACTCCATCGTAAGTGGATGAGCATCTCTCTATATACATCCTATTGGTTCTGTTTCTCTGGAGAACACTGACTAATACACAGGCATTCTCTAGTTTTTTTTTTTTTTTTGAGACGGAGTTTCACTGTTGTCACCCAGACTGGAGTGCAATGGCGCGATCTCGGCTCACCGCAACCTCCGCCTCCTGGGTTCAAGCAATTCTCCTGCCTCAGCCTCCTGAGTAGCTGGGACTACAGGTGTGCGCACCACCATACCCAGCTAATTTTTGTATTTTTACTAGAGACGGGGTTTCACCTTGTTGACCAGGATGGTCTCGATCTCTTGACCTCGTGATCCACCCACCTCGGCCTCCCAAAGTGCTGGGATTATAGGCGTGAGCCACCGCGCGTGGCCTAGTTTTTTATTAAATGATTAAAGAATGAAACTTTGTGGTAGTAAAATGTATATTATTGTTAAAACACTGAAGATATATTTAGGTACAATCTCAAACTCATTTCCCACTGCAAAACCAAATGAGTCATCATCTTTGTTTTGTTTGTTCAGATGTAATTTAAAAATCTATGTTTATATTTATTGGAAATGGATAGCAGTCAACTTAATAAGTTATAAGTTAGCCTTAAATTTCTCACTGAAAGCACCTTGGCCATAGGACAGGAAACGTGGAATAGCAAGAAGCTGTCAGTGTCCTTTTGGAGAAGAGATTGCTGAGGCCAAAGTCCTTCTAGTACCGCTTTTTGGCATTTGGTTTTTCTGATTTACTTGACACTCAAGAAGTGCTTAAGATTGTTTTAAGACCACATAAAATCAACTTAGGTTTTAGAGAAATGTTTCCATTTACCGTAAAAGTTCAAAATAAATCGTTACAGAGAACAACTAAAATAGAGAATAGAGAATGGAGAGAAATAGACTTCCGAAGACAAAAATTCCATTTAGCTGTGAATTGGCGGGGGGCAACCTTAGCGATAGTAACGTTATCGCAGCACTTCTCAAACTGAGGCGGTCATCCATGAATACATGGAAAGGTATAGGATAAATGCAGTCCACTTTTCCCAATGGACAACTTTTCAGTTTTATTCAAAAAGATTATAAAATGTGCCTGTTCAGTGAGTCAAAACTAATATTTCATATTAAAACAAAAATCAACAGATTATGGAACAGAATGCAAAACTTGCAAAAAATTTTTATGAAACTGTGAAGGAAGTTTGCACTTGCAAATGAATGGCTTCCATTGGGTTCCCAGCCACTGTCTACTCTGTTATATAGGTTGAGGCTGCACTGCACTGTCCTCAGCAGTACACTTTTGCTGGAAAACATTTCAAAATCACGGTTTTGAAACAGATTGACTTAAGAAGGTGACAAGCACCAAAGAAAAGAGAATCAGCTCCCTTTGAGAGCTCCCTGCCCTTCTTTGAATGAAAAAACTCTCTCAAAGAAGAGGCAATAGAAAGTAGAAGCTATGAACAGAGTGGTTTAATGAGGCTACTTTTTTTTTGTTTTTGCTTTTGTTTTCCCATAAATGCCATCCTTTTGGTAAATGTTATTACTACAGCCTTATTTTTTTAGTTTTGTTTTCCAGAACTACTATTTATTGAGAATGTCTTGTTCCCGGTTTCTACACGAGTAATCGTAACTACTCTTCTCAACAACTTTGAGGCAGACATAATAAATAATATAGTAAACAGCATGGATATACCCTCAGGTCTCAAAAATCTATGGTTTTGGCACAATGCCATTCCAACTTCCACCATCTTCATCCTCCTGCTTTAACCAGGAAAACATTTACTGGGCAATAGACATGTCAAAAGTGAAGGTGTTCACACCCAAATAATACTGTGCTGCTGTTTTCAAAGCAATCCATGTTTCGTGAGCCTGCAAGAAAAGGAAACACGTCATGATCTCTGAGTATGTAGAGCACATCTTGCATCCGTTATTCTGATTATCATACAGAGATTCCTAAAAGATGAGAAAAATATAATGGAAGAATTGTACCAAATAGAGTTTGGTTTTCATACCTTTAATTATCTGTTTATTTCAATGCTCAAATGTTTTGCAGTGTTTGTGGGGCCACAGTATAAACTAACATAGTAGAGTCTTGTGACATTACATAGTGCCTGTTAGTTGGTACAAAACTCTTCTACAAGTAGAGGTAGGAGTGTACCTGAAAATGTCAGCATTCTATAAAGAAGACACAGTCTACCAGCCTATTCATTATTTAATTGACCAAATAAACAAATGTCTTGTTTTAACAATGCTAAATGATACCTATTGGACAAAACAGCCATAAAACTAGATGCATTATTCAGCTAGTAGTTTTCACCAGCAATGGCTGAACAAGCAGATCCTGGTAGACCTGTTAAGACCCAGTCATGTGGAGTAAGGGCAGGGTCAAGGCCCATGAAAACAAGACATTCAACTTCTGACGACGTTATACAATCCTCATGCCTGATGATAATCAGAGCCTGAGATATGTGGAAAGAAAGAAAGAATAAGTGAAGGAACTCATTCATTCATTCATTCATTGTACAGCTTTGTTTCCTAAATTGCTAAATTGTAAGAGGGAGATCGAATAATAGAAATCCTCATATAATTCCGCAATTTCATTTGGCCTGGAGTTTGAACATCATCTTCTATCAGAAAAGTAAACATAGAATAAAAAAGGCCAGTGCGAGTTTCTTCTTTATTTCTCTTGCAGTGAGAATGCGAATGAATAGGAAAATGTACAAAAGGCAAGCAAATGGAGGAACAACATGAAAGCCTTGAATAATTATCACAGAGGAAATTCAGCTACTGAACAACTGAAAGTGAACTAAAGTCTGGCCACTGTCCGTTCCTCCATCTACATAAACATGTAATAATGTATTAAGCTTTGACTATTTAACAGTCATTTTGCTAGTTTCTGAGAATAATTGCCGTGAAGGATAAGATACACACCCTATAGGCAGGTACGTTGGGTGGACAAAACAGGTAATTCCAATTGACATTTTGAGAGCTATCCACCTGTGAAACAGTGTGAAAACGGAGACACAGAAAGACAAATGTCACCCTGAGAAGGGAAAGGCTTCGGAGGGGACAGGACATTTGAGTTTAGTCTTTAAGCAAGAGGCAGAGTTTACTAGGCAAAAACCACTTCATGGAGAGGAAAAAGCAGACATAGCTCAGTGTCTCGTGAGGAAAAATCAGGGCTAGGCTAGTGGGGTGGTTAATTAGTGGTCGGCTAATGCAATGACTACTTAAAAATATAAACGGCGAAGGACCATCTGTTTCTAATACAAATACCTGATTGGCCAGTGTGTTTTTCCACACATTTGAGCTGTGATCTGGGTCCCAGAAATCAGGCAAATTTACATGTCTTTTGAGACGTAGGAACTGGTTTGCAGGGTCCTCCAACAAAAATGGTGCTCCCAACGCGCCTGCAATTCAGAGTCCAAACGCACAGCATCTTTTAGAGCAATCATTTACATCTCAATGTTTCCTCTTTAAGAGACACTGCTGTGGTCTTCGCTAGGCTGGGGATCTGAGGGGAAAACTCTGGCAAAGCTAAGCTCTGAGCGAAACAGTTACTCCTTTGTCACCATTGTATGCTCGCCACTCAGTCTGACCTGCATTTAGTTCATCCTGGAAGCCAGTGCCATGTGGTGATCACAGCAGGATTTCAGAGCTTCCATATATGCGTCGGGACCTGGATTCAAATTTGAGCCCTATCACTTTTATGGGAAAGTTGCTCGATATCTTTGCACTTTAGTTTTCTTGCATGTTAAGGGGTATAATAATACACACACACTTGCTATAAGGACTGGATAAATCAATGGATATATACCATCTGTCAAACTAGACAGACAACTATCTCATTCTTGCTTTCCTAGCCCTCCAAAGTAGAACTGATCTTTTTGTTTGAACTAGACTGCTCCCAAATCTGACACTGTGGTTTAAATTGTTGGTACTGATCGATTCATCATCAAATCAAAACACCTTGTATTTTGCAACTCCTTCCGGCTCCAGGATTAAGAAAAAAAAAGAAATGATAAATTTTAATATTCCAAACTTTTTAAAGATCTTGAAGTTTTAACAATCGGTTGTATTTTCATTCTCAAGTAAAACACGACTGTGTTCAGAATTATAACTTGAATCAATACAAAGGAAGAACACATTTTCTCCTGACCTATAGGATAGGACAACAATACAATCTGTTCATTGTGATAAAGAAACATTTATTACAACATCTAATTGTGAGTAATGTTACATTAGGCACTTAACAACCTAATTATTAGCAGTCCTCTGTTGGCCAACCCTCTGTATGAACCTGGGTTACAGCAAGCTATATAGTATGAAAATTCGCCTCTATAGGACTTTCTACTTAGTTGGGATCCAGGGTCAAAGATAACAGACAAACTGAGGCAACACAGGATTTGATTGCACTAAAGGAATTTAGGAGAAGGTGTTTTTATTGAGCACCAAGACACTGGGGTACAAGTAGACGTTTTCACAGTCAAGGTAGTTGCTTCACCTGCTCCTTGAAGGAAAAATTAGATTTAGCTGGGTGGAAGAAGGGGAAACATTTTTTTAAATTGAAGCCAGAGGAATGATGTGTTTTACTATCTCGAAACAATAGAAGCGGCTAGATAGAAGAGTTTTATATAAAAAATAATAATATTAGTTAACATTTAAACTTAGAAGATATTGATGACAGATCCCAGCATACCGTTCTGCTACTAGCTAATTCAGTTTAGCATAATCCAACAAGCATATCTATGGAAACCATCTTTTAAGGTGGCTCCCAAAGATCAGTACCTCCAGCTATTCATATTCTTGTGTAGTAATCTCCTCTTTCATTTAATAGGGCTGACCTAAGTAATCATAGGCTACTGTGGAATGACTATGTGCAATTTTTGTGGCTAGGACATAAAAGACATTACAACTTCTACCTTGCCCCTCTTTTGGACCACTTGCTCTGAAAAAAAGTCAGCTGCCATGTTGTGAGGGCACTCAAGCATCCCTGAGGGAGAAGATCACATGACAAGGGAATGATGCCTCCCACCAATGGCCGGGTACGTGAGCCACCTGGGAACCTGATGGTTTTGCTCCAGTCGAGCCTTCAGATGACTGACATCTTTGCTGCATCATCATAAAAAATCCAGAGCCACAACCACTGAGCTAAGCCACTCCCAAATTCATGACGCTGCAACTGCAATAATGTTCGTTGTTTTAAGCTGTTAAGTTTTGGAAAAATTCGTTATACAGTAGCAGATAACTTACAGAATGCATTATACGCACTTACTGATGTTAAGGTAAATTGCTAATCACAAGAGCTGGGACTAAGTTGAGGCAAGTGAGCCACTTAGGATAGGGTACAAAATACAAGGAACTCACTTTCAGGGTTATATAAATTTTGTGCCGTAAGTTCTGCACTTCCCTCAGCCTAGTCCCTGTTTTGATTATCATCACTGCGTGGAAAGATAAACAAAAATAACTCTTGCTAATCATTACTGCATGCAAAGATAGACAACAAATAACCCTTGCCATTAAATCATTCACATTATAGTCAGTTCATATATAGTTATAAGAAGACATGTTGTGATCAGACCATCCATAGTAGGAGCAATTAATTTTGATAATGTCATGGAGACCTCACAGAGAAATTCATTTTGAACTGGGCTTCAAAGATATGTGACGTTTCAACAATGAGGATGAAGGAAGTGGAAGCAAAGCACATACATTCCAGGCTGAAGGAGACTGGAGACTTAAGGAATGGAGGAGCAACGAAAGATTCAGGGTTGGTGACTTTCACTTTGCCAAAACGATTGAAAGGTAGGGTTGTAGTGTAGATATGGTCAGAGGTAACAGTGGAAAGTAAGTTAGAGCTTGACTCTGTTCATAGCAGGGAGTTTGGACTTCACTTTAAATAGTTAATGATCATTTCTGAATAAGAAAATGATAGGAAGGACCAGATATACTTTTTAAAAACATTGTTTGTATTGTGGTAAAAAATACGTAACATAAAACATACCATTTGAAGCAGCTTCGAGTGTTCAATTCAGTGGTATTAGGTACATTTACAGTGTTTGTAACCAGCACCACTATCCATCTCCAGGACTATTTCATTGTCACAAACAGAAACTTTACTCTTTAAACAACTCCCCATCAACCTCTACCCAACTGTTGGTAACTGCTATTCTACTTTCTTTTCCTATGAATTTGCCTGTTCTAGGCACCACATGTAAGTGGAATCATACACTATGTCTGGCTTATTTCACGTAGCATAATGCCATCAAAGGTCTTCCATATTGTGACATCAGTATTTCATTCCTTTTTAAAACTGAATAACAACTTACGTATTTAATATGTATGTATCTATACCACATTTGTTTATTCATTCACAGATTTACTCTGAAAGACCCTTTTGTCAGTTGTGTAAGGACAGACAGTAAAAGAAAGAGAAGAGCAAGGGACATGAGATCAGAGTCTATTCAATAGTCCAGATGAGATATAAGGAGGGCCTGAATCTGGTGCAAGTGGGGTGGGAAGACAGGATTGATTTGAGGAAGATAGGAGGAAGGAGCCCACGTTCATTGGGCTGACCAGTGTGAACTAACCAGCTTTGATATTTTGCTTTTAGATGAAATGCACTAATGGGTCACTTTTCAGATTTCTTACCATTCTCTTTGAAGAAAAAGTGTTAGTAACAGTGTTACATGTTTTGTGTATTACTATTCTGTTAATAAATCAGTGTTTTTTTCAAAACAAAATTAGTGGGTATGCAAAATAGGTCCAATTCCATCAGTAAACAGTAAGTAGCTCTAAGTGATGCTTAGGATGTTATTTATAGCTATAGAGTGAATCTGTAGTAATTGCTTAAAATAGTGTTACTTGATTTAAAAGTAAATGGTTTAAAAGTAAAACCAGAATTTTGTACCTTGGTCATCCTGGTGCATTATATGATCACTAAGAAAAAAAAATGCTATTACATAAATCTTGGCAGAGAAGTATGCTTTAAAATATACACCATAGCTGTTTTAAGCTGTAACAATTCTGTCTTTTGTAAGTCTTTTTCCTTTTTGCTCCTGGAAAATGTTTTGCCGATACAATCTCCTTCTCCTCCCTAGGACAAACCACTTACCTCAGCATTATAAGCCCAACAGTCATCCAATAAATCTTAATTGATGGTGATGATAACATCACCCATGAGAGACACAGAAAGTAGTATTTATTATCCTACTTTACAAATTGAGAAAATTGACACGCAGAGATGAAATGACTTACTCAAGGTCATATAGTAAGTCAGTGGCAGGGCTGGAGATAAAAATGCAAGTAATATAGAAGGGCAGGCTATTATCCTCTCTGCCTGAGAAGTTTCTCCTCCCTTTTTCATTCTGCCTGATCAACCTTGAAAGTTAGTGAGAGCAAGACCATGGGTTTGCATTGGTGAACCTGTACAATATTGCTGGCTCTTGAAAATGGAACCCTGACTTTTATCGCTTTGTTGAGTTTTAGATGAGTGTGTTTTTTTAAATGTAGGCAATACCAGCCAGGTTAATGCCGTTCTCAAACTTTATGATCATCAGTTATGAAAAAATATCTTTCTCTCTTCCTTTATAACTCCCCACACACACCCCTTTTTTCACCCCACATCATAAGCAACTTTAATAGGATCTGTAAATGTTTTGTCTACATATTTCACAAATACCCTCTGAAGAAAATTCTGTACAGTAGAAACAGGGCAAACACTTCAGAGTATAAAGCAAACACTATTTGGGATCACAGCTCTCCTTACACAAGCAGAGAAGGATCAGAGACCCAGTCTTCTCTTGGCCTTGTCGGTAACCAGCTAGGTCACTGGGCACTTCTTATTCCTGCACTTCTCTTGGCCTTGTCGGTAACCAGCTAGGTCACTGGGCACTTCTTATTCCTGCACTTCTCTTGGCCTTGTCGGTAACCAGCTAGGTCACTGGGCACTTCTTATTCCTGCACTTCTCTTGGCCTTGTCGGTAACCAGCTAGGTCACTGGGCACTTCTTATTCCTGCACTTCTCTTGGCCTTGTCGGTAACCAGCTAGGTCACTGGGCACTTCTTATTCCTGCACTTCTCTTGGCCTTGTCGGTAACCAGCTAGGTCACTGGGCACTTCTTATTCCTGCACTTCTCTTGGCCTTGTCGGTAACCAGCTAGGTCACTGGGCACTTCTTATTCCTGCACTTCTCTTGGCCTTGTCGGTAACCAGCTAGGTCACTGGGCACTTCTTATTCCTGCACTTCTCTTGGCCTTGTCGGTAACCAGCTAGGTCACTGGGCACTTCTTATTCCTGCACTTCTCTTGGCCTTGTCGGTAACCAGCTAGGTCACTGGGCACTTCTTATTCCTGCACTTCTCTTGGCCTTGTCGGTAACCAGCTAGGTCACTGGGCACTTCTTATTCCTG